TGCCTGCCCTTTGGATTAACAATAACTGTTTTAAGTTCATTTCCAGTAAGTTGTGGTTAAGTAGGGAAAGTAAGTTAACTGAGATAAGAAAGTTAAGTAACAAGCAGTTTACAGATGCCAGGCATGGCAGCAGGGAGCATCACCATGTCCCTGCCCCTGGCCAGCTTGTTTGGTTGTGGGGCCAACTTAAGTCACTTGCATCTGGGGGCATCATCCGATTTCCACTTCCCATAGGAGGTGTCACTCCACAGTCCTGGAAGGATTGGCGTTCCTGGGGTGGAGGCTGGCACTGACTGCCCTCTTGCCTTGCAGGGTCAGCAGACCTGGGTGTCTGTCTGCACAAATCCTCCAGTGGCCTGGACCTGCCCATGAAGGTGGTAGACATGTTCGGGTGCCGTTTGCCTGTGTGTGCTATGAACTTCAAATGGTAGGAGCAGAAGCTGAGTCTTCCTGGGGTTTGGTTCTCAAATCAGTAGCTGAGGGGGGACTATACCGCAGTCTGAGCTGCCCATGACAGGTGCCACCAGCAAGGTGCCGCCTCCCAGTCCAGCATGGTGGCTGAGAATAGGGTGTGTTTTGCTCGTGCTCACAGAGAGGTGGCTGGAACTGCCTGCATAGCTTATGTGGTTTTATTTCTCTTTTTTTGCTCTTCCCATGTCCCCCTTGGCTAAGCTCAGATAGTTGGATTTAAATTGGTTAAATGAGTGCCACTCAACCTGGCAAAGACAGGTATTTGGAAAGGGCAATGTTAGAAGTTCTAGAAATAGCAGCCTCAGCAGGCAGAGCTTAGCAGCCTATAGATCAGCAGTTTTCAACCTGTGGGTCATGAGCCCTTTGGGGGTCGAATGACCCATTCACAGGGGTTGCCTCAATACATCCTGCATATCAGATATTTATGTTATGTTTCATAACAGTAGCAAAATTACAGTTATAAAGTAGCAATGAAAACAATTTTATGGTTGGGGGTCACCACAACATGAGGAACTATATTAAAGGGTCCAGCATTAGGAAGATTGAGAACCACTGCTGTAGATGGACAGTTCGGGATGTTAGACCCTCAAGTAAGCTGAACTCAGGGCATGTTAGAACCAAGCCTCCTGGTGACCAGAGAAGCCATCCTTAGTGCCAAGCCGGGCCCTGGTTTCATGGGCATGGAGTTAAGAGTCAAAATGCAGAAATAATTCTTGAGTACCCCACAGGGTCGGGTTCCTTTTCCAGGCAGCTCTTAGGTCCCCTTGTTCTCTTTGCAGTTTACATGAGCTGGTGAAACATGAAGAAAATGGCCTGGTCTTTGAAGACTCGGAGGAACTGGCAGCTCAGCTGCAGGTAGCCGCATCAGCCCCTGCTCCAGGGCTTGGGGTTTGGAGATGGGCCCTGAGCCATGATCCTAATTACTGCTTCCTGCAGCCACGGTGGGACTAGGGGGTCTGGAAGAAAAGCTGGGGGAGGGACAAAGGGCTTCCATATACTGTCCTGTTTTGACCAACCAGTGGGCTCAGGAAAATCAGGACATTCCCGTGCCTGCCCTTTGGATCTATGGCACTTACAGCACACAGATGATGCCTGAGCAAGGCAGCTGCGCTGTAGTTTAGGGAGTGATCAGGGTCTGGGGAGTAAGAGTGGGGAATGAAAGGGGCTCCTTGGTCCAGCCTCAAAAGGCAAGTGGGATTCTGTGAAGAATGCTTGTTTCTTTCTTTTTTATAGAGACAGAGTCTTATTTTATCACCCTTGGTAGAGTGCTGTGGCGTCACAAGGTCACAGCAACTTTCACCTCCTGGGCTTAGGGAATTCTCTTGCTCAGCCTCCCGAGTAGCTGGGACTATAGGCACTCGCCACAATGCCTGGCTATTTTTTTGTTGCAGTTTGGCTGGGGCTGGGTTTGAACCTGCCACCCTTGGTATATGGGGCGGGCGCCCTACTCACTGAGCCACAGGTGCTACCAAGGATGCTTGTTTCTTACTGTTACCTTTTTAAAAAAAAATTTTTTTTTTGAGAAAGAGTCTCACTCTCTTGCCCCAGGTATAGTGCCATGGTGCCATCATAGCTCACAGCAACCTCAAACTCTTGGGCTCAAGCAATCCTTTTGCCTTAGCCTCCTGAGTTAACCGGGGCTACAGGTGCCCATCATGATGCCTAGCTAGTATTTGTATTCTTTAGTAGAGATGGGATCTCACTCTTGCTCAGTATGGTTTTGAACTCCTGAGCTCAAGCAATCCACCTACCTTGGCCTCCTAAAGTGCTAGGATTACAGGCATGAGCCACTGCATCCAGCCCTTTATTGTCATTCTTAACAACTGAACAATCAGTAAACTTTTTCCATAAAGGTTCAGGTAGAAAATCTTTTAGGTTTTACCATATAGTCATTGTCAGAACTACCGAACTCTGTTATAGTGGGAAAGCCACAGACCATCTGTGGAAGAAAGGGTGTGGCTGTGTTCTACTAAAACTTTATTTACAAAGATAGATGGTAGGCTAGATTTGGCTGGCAGGCTATAGTTTGCCAATTCCTGATTGGTTCAGAACAGTTCAACAAAGCTGGAAAGAAGATAGACATCACTTCATTCTTAGTAGACAAGCCAGAGACTGAGGGCAGGTGCTCCTGGAAAAGGAATGGCAGGCAGAGGGCAGGAGGTGCCCCAGGGCATGAAGTGTGGGGAAGAGTGGGATATGCAGTGTGTTCCCAGCACACTCGCTGTCAAGTAGATGAGACAAAGCATTGCCCGGGCACGAGAGGCCTTGGGTGCCTAGTGAAGGAGTGGAGACTCTGAAGGGGGTGTTGTTGGGTGGGGGACCTGGAGTCAGCAGGCAGTCACCTGGGATGAGGTGGGCAGTAACAATGAGGTCAGTTCTGGTCTTTTTTTTTGCAGATGCTTTTCTCGAAGTTTCCTGATCCTGCTGGCAAACTGAACCAGTTCCGGAAGAACCTCTGTCAGTCAGAGCATCCGCGGTGGGATGAGAGCTGGACTCAGACTGTGCTCCCTCTGCTTGTGGACATGTGACCCTGGGGCCAGAGACTAAAACTCAGGATTCCCCCTACCTCGGGTCCCCTTCTGCCTCCACCACCAAGTCCCTGGGCAAACTCTTCTGAGCAGTGCCCCAGGAGTCAGAGGCCGAAACGTGAATGAAGCTGTAGTGACCAGGAGCTGTGCCCCAGGAAGCTATGGCTGCCCTGGCATCTTTGGAGGCTCTGAAGTACTTCCTCTTCCCCTATTCTGTACTCCCCCCCCCAGCACAACCTGGCATATTACTTTTTTATTACCTGCTGGGCTTCTTAGCATCTCTCTGTTCCATGGTGGTGTGTGCCCTTCCCCATTCTATCCTGTTGTGGTCCTAACCCCTCGGCTTCTGCCTGGGACATGGATACCTGCTATGCTGTAGGTGCAGTGGGGCTGCCTGCTTGGCCGTCTGAGAAATGAAGTGTCAAGGTTAGGGGACGTTACACTTGATGTACAGATGTTATCTGCACAAAGGAAATACTTGCCTTTGAGCCAAAACTTTCATTTCTAGTCTATGGAGATTTTCTTTTTTTTTTTTTGAGACAGTCTCAAGTTGTTGCCCTGGGTAGAGTGCCATGGCATCATAGCTAACAGCAACTTCAGACTCTTGGACTTAAGTGATTCTCTTGCCTTAGCCTCCCAAGTAGCTGGGACTATGGGTGCCCACCACAATGCCCAGCTATTTTTTTTATTGTAGTTGTTGTTGTTTTAGCAGGCCAGGGCTGGGTTTGAACCTGCCAGCTCTAGTGTATGTGGCTGGTGCCCTACCCACTGAGCTACAGGCACTGCCTATGATGATGTTCTTAAGAATCAGAACTGCTGGCTCGGCACTTGTGGCTCAAGTGGCTAAGGTGCCAGCCACATACACCTAAAGTGGTGGGTTCAAATCCAGCGCAGGCCCGCCAAACAACAGTGAAAAAAATAGCCGGGCATTGTGGCGGGTGCCTGTGGTCCCAGCTACTTGGAGGCTGAGGCAGGAGACTCACTTGAGCCCAGAAGTTGGAGGTTGCTGTGAGCTGTGATGTCATAGTACTCTACCCAGGGTGACAGCTTGAGGCTCTGTCTCAAAAAAAAAAAGAATCAGAACTGCTGACAGCAAAGGGGTACCCACATACTTAAATGGTTTATATCTTATTAGAACAGTTTATGATTTGTCATTCCTCAAATATTTAGTTCAATGGAAGGTTTTACTTGTCTGTTTTTAAGATGGAGGGGTCTTATTCTCTCATCCAGGCTGGAGTCCACTGAAATTGTAGTTCACCGCTGCTTTTATCCTGTATTCAAGCCATCGTCCTGTGTAGCTGGGACTGCAGATGTGCACCACCACATCTGGCTGATATTTCCATTTTTTAGAGATGGAGTCTTGCTGTTCCCCAGGTTGGTTTTGAACTCCTGGCCTCAAATAATTCTCCTGCCTTGGCCTCCCAACGTGCTGAGATTATAGGCATGAGCCACCAAACCTGGCCCCAGTGAAAGTTTTATTTGCTTTCCCACAAAAATTCTTTCTATGTTAGTGATTTGATTTTCACAGTAATCTTCAGAAGCCTTTGGGAGCCCTATAGCGTGAGTTGCAGAATTGCCATCTCTGAGTGCTCATCATAAGGGAATAGTTTCCGGTTGTGAGGAGGTACTGCTTCCCATCGGATCCCGGCCTGGCCTGGAAACAGAGCACATGCATCTCAAGATGGCATTTGAGATGGGCCTGGGATGTGTTCAGGCTGGTCTGCACACGTCACAGATTTCCAGGCTCACCGGGATGCTCAGGAGCCTCTTCCAGGTGGTCTGCAGGGTAGTGACTGGCAGCCAGGCTTCCTGCCGTGCCCCGCTGCACACCTGCCCCTCCAAGGTCAGAACCCATGTATGTCTGCCCAGCAGGCCCACTCTTCATGCTTAGAGGGGCTTGTGCCATCCTCATCAGCACAGGTGTCTGAAGAGCCAGTTGCAGGGATGATTTTTTAATCACTTTTTTGGTATGAGTGAGAAATTAGTACTCACGAAAATGAAGTACTGACATGAAAGTGTAGCTGTCTCTCTAATCTCACCATCTCAGTGTAACAACGGGCAATTGGTGTATATTCTAGTTTTACTCCCTATAGGTACCTATGTATACTAACATGATGATATTAAAACTAAAATTTTTTTTTTCTTCAGAGATAGGGCCTTGCCACGTTGCCCAGGCTGGCCTTGAAATCCAGGGCTCAAGTGATCCTTTCACCTGGGTCTCTCAAGTAGTTGAGATTACAGGCATATGCCATTGTGCTAAGCTAATTATTTTTTTAAAACAAAAATGGGCTTGTAGGCAACAATGAGACCCTGTCTTTTAAGAAAAAAGCTTATGTATACTTGGCACTCAGCTTTTTTCACTTAAAAGACACTGCAGGCATTCTTTAAAGGCTGTATAGCACTGTCAGCAGAGCACTGTGAGTGTTCATTTGTTCATTGTTTGTTTGCTCTGTAGTTAACTTGCCATGGCACAGGTGGGCATCTGGGTTGTCTGTCAGCAGAAGCTGCTGCAGGCGTGTCTGTGCATGTAGTTTTTGGGAGGGGCTTTGCCCAGGGGGAGCTGGGCAGATGGGGTTCTGTGCTGCCACCAGGTTGCATGTGAAAGCCCTGGCCACGCCTACTGTGCCCTGGAGGTTGCAGACGGCTGGTTTTGGGGGGACTGGGTGTAGTGTAGGTAGCCTGGCTGAAGTCTGTGGGAGCTTGGGGGTTGCCCAGCCTCCCTGTCCCTAGTGTCTTTGTGGGTGACACGGGATGATGATATACTCCTTGCAGGTGCTGGGGGGGCTGACATGTCAGTTCTGATGATGGCGCATGGCAGGGTTGTGTGCAGGTGGGCCTCTTCTTAAAAAATCACCCTGCCACTCTGTTCTTCCACTTACTTGGAAGATAACTGTAGATAGCTTACTATAACAGCAGCTGTCCCGTTACTGAATGTCCCTGCATGCTAGGCACTGTCTGGGTGTGTACAAGCTTTCCTCTGGAGTGGGTCTCTCCAGGTGCAGGTGAGGAAGGACACTGACACATGGGGGTGAGTGACAGCCCAGCTCAACAGGGTGGCTAGTGGATCTGCCTCTAGAGTCTGCACTAGGTGCCCGGGGGGCCAGAACTTTGTCCAGCCCTGAAACCAAGTGGCATCCTGATACCTCTATTGTGCAAATTAAGGAAACCAAGGCCCAAAGAGTTAGGAAACCTGGCACACACAGTAGTGCTGCAGGTCTCAGGCCCATCACTGTACCAAGCCACCTCTCTCCTGTCTGGCGCCCTACCCTGCTCACTGTCCTGCCTCTGCGGAGTTCCCAGGGGATATGTGGGTGTGGGGCTTCCTAACTTTTCCCCAGGGCCCCGTTCTTTTACTGGAGTACTGTGGGGACAGCTCCCAGGTGCAGGGACTCACCTAGCTTGGTGGTAAATAGCTGACACGTCTCTGGGTTGCGGATGGTGAAGGCAACAAAGACGTCAGGAGTCCGCTGGTCCTTCAGGCAAGAAGAGAGGTACTGCAGGACCTTGACCAGTGAGAGGATGACCTCTGGGCAGTACAGCACGTCTATGGAGAAAGCCTCAGGTTACCAACAGGGACACGGAGGGTTCTGGTTGTGCTGACCTCAGCAACAGGATGAGGATGGAAGCAGCAGGTACATTAGATTTGGGCTATTAGAAGAAAAGGAGATTACTTGGGTGGAAAGGGAACATTCTTAGGAGAGAAAACAAGCTGCTAGAAGACACTGCAACACAGGACAAAGTACCCAGGCTCACTGGAGTTTCTTTAAAAGAAAAAAATCAACTTTTTGCTTCTTGGCCTATTTAGAAGACACATAATGAAGCAAAACCTGCCTCGGCCTTGGACTTTGTGTTTCCAGGCATCTGCTGCCCGATGGATGGGCTTGTTGCTCAAGTGTGATATCCCTGGATGTGGGACCCATGGGTTTCAGGGCTGGGCTCCAACCAGAGTGGAGCTGGAGAGGGGACTGTGTGGGCTCCACAAAGGATGGACAGGAGCCTTCTCTCAAGGACTCTGTCCTGGTACCAGAAGTGCCTGGTTCCCTCGTAGTCTCTGAAGGACAGGGAGCATGGTCCTGGGATGCAGATAGCTAGGGCCACAGGGAAATATTGATGTGTGATGATGCAGTGAGCCAGCACCGACAGAGGTGGTGTTCCCTGACAGTCTGGCTCCTGCAATCCCACCCCAGGCCTGCCCAGAGCTGGGTGCTGGTGACATGTGGAGGACTCAGACAGTTCTGGGAGAATTGCACAGTCCTTAGTGGCCCTCAGGAAACCGGGGGCTGCTACGGCCATTTCTGGCTCATGTCTGAAGACTTGGGGAGTGGAGTGGGGACAGATGTGCCCCTGTTGGTCACATGGGGGTGAAATGCTGGCATCTCAATGGGCTGGTAAGCAGGGGTAGGGTGGGGCTGGCCCAGATTTCTTTGATGTGCTGCTCTGGCTATCCTGTTTAGGTCCTGGGTGGGAACTGAGACACCTCCCCCAGCAGCGACTGCTGGGAGGGAGATGAAGTCTCTCTACTCAGCTGTGGCCTGGCTAATGGGGCAGACTGGTCTGGTGCCCTGGGGCCTGTTCTGATCCTGTCATGCCTTGCTGGGAAAAGCTAGGGTTCATTTACTGGATGGAATCATTATAACAGGAATATGTCTGTCCCCATCAAGAGGACTATGGCTTTAGGGTCATCTTACAAAGCACATCCCAGTGCTCGGAGGTCACCTTGGAGGCCCAAAATGATTCTTCTGGAAGTCCCATCATTCCCCTGCCCGGCAGCATCCACCATTCCTTTTCCCCAGAGCCTATAGCTGGGTGGGGCTGCAAGGAAGTCACCTGCTCAAGTCCGCCCTGGGCTGGGCATTACCTGCTGCAATTACGACATCTGGTTGGAAGGCAGAGAGCTGAGAGATCGTCACAACATCCCAGTCCAGATGGGCCACTGTCACCCTGGGGCTCTCTGAGTTGGTGGTGATGCCTGGCTCTAACAATAAGCCATTGAGAAGGACATTCCCTCGGAGCTGCTCGAGGACACGGCTGTGATAGTCACTGAAGATGTAGGCTCTGGGATGGCAGGTTTTGCAAATGGCTAGGCCTGTGAGGCCAGCTCCGCTGCCCAGTTCTAGGACTATCCTGGGTGGGAGGAAGGGGGACTCATGTCTATAACTGAGCCACGGCAAGCCTGCCTTGGTGGCCTGCCCTATGCCCCAAGATCACCTGTGCGTGAAGGCTGCTGGGTTCTCGATGGCCCATTCTGCAAGGTAGAGGGCGGCGTCCCATGTGACTAGGCCAGTGGTACCGTGGGAGACAATGGCTGTGCTCTCTGAGAGTGTCACCGAGTCCCCTGAGGGCTACATCAAGAGGATGAGAGAATCAATCCAGCTTTCAGGATACAAGTAGCTGGTGTTTAAAAGAAAATCATACGAGTGGAGGCTAAATAAACTGTGGGGGCGCCACGCCAGGGAATGCCGCTCAGCATTCCCAGAACAGAACAGACTGTGCAACAGCAATAGCTTGGGCAGAGTTCAAGGGCCAATCTCAGGTTATACCCTGCCCAATTCTCTTCCCTTAATGTTCTGAAATGGCGGAATCACCCCCACGGAGCACACAGTGAGGGCGGGGTGGTGGGGCTGGGGTGGGTGAGGCTACAAAGTGATGGGTGCCTTTGTGATGCTTTTATGTGGTTTTCTCTATGTTTTATTTTATAACAACATTTCTGGCTCATGTCTGAAGACTTGGGGAGTG